CCCTGGGGCCCGGCCCGCTGCTCAGCCCGGCGCCCAGCCTGCCAAACCCACTCCTACCTCAGACCTCCGCCAGCAGCGTCATCTTCCCCAACCCGCTGGTCAGCATCGCGGCCACGGCCAACGCGCTGGACCCGCTGTCGGCCCTCATGAAGCACCGCAAGGGCAAGCCCCCCAACGTGTCGGTGTTCGAGCCCAAGGCCAGCGCCGAGGACCCCTTCTTCAAGCACAAGTGCAGGTTCTGCGCCAAGGTGTTCGGCAGCGACAGCGCCCTGCAGATCCACCTGCGCTCGCACACGGGCGAGAGGCCCTTCAAGTGCAACGTGTGTGGCAACCGCTTCTCCACCAAGGGCAACCTGAAGGTGCACTTCCAGCGGCACCGGGAGAAGTACCCCCACATCCAGATGAACCCCTACCCCGTGCCCGAGTACCTGGACAACGTGCCCACCTGCTCCGGGATTCCGTACGGGATGTCGCTGCCCCCGGAGAAGCCGGTGACCACCTGGCTGGACAGCAAGCCCGTGTTGCCCACGGTGCCCACCTCGGTGGGGCTGCAGCTGCCGCCCACCATCCCCGGCGTCGGCGGCTACGCCGACTCCCCCAGCCTCACCCCCGCCGGCCGCTCCCCACAGCGGCCCTCGCCCGCGTCCAGCGAGTGCCCCTCCCTGTCCCCCGGCCTCACCAGCTCCGAGGCGGCCGCCCCAGTGACCGCCGAGTCCCCGCAGCCCGTGCTCGGTGGGCCTTCTCTGCCCAAACCCGAGCCCGTGGGCCTGCTTTGCACAAATGACAGGGCCGGGGACGTCCCTGGCAGCGGGCAGGTCTCCACCACGTGCACAGTGGCCGCCACCGCCCTCACGGACAGCAGCGTGTCCACGGGCCTCTGCAGCCCGGTCCTCGCGGCCGGCTCCGACCAGTTCAAGGCCAAGTTCCCCTTCGGGGGGCTGCTCGACTCCATGCAGACGTCAGAGACGTCCAAGCTGCAGCAGCTGGTGGAGAACATCGACAAGAAGATGACGGACCCCAACCAGTGCGTCATCTGCCACCGGGTGCTGAGCTGCCAGAGCGCGCTCAAGATGCACTACCGCACGCACACCGGCGAGAGGCCCTTCAAGTGCAAGATCTGCGGGCGCGCCTTCACCACCAAGGGCAACCTGAAGACGCACTTCGGCGTGCACCGCGCCAAGCCGCCCCTGCGCGTGCAGCACTCCTGCCCCATCTGCCAGAAGAAGTTCACCAACGCCGTGGTGCTGCAGCAGCACATCCGCATGCACATGGGGGGCCAGATCCCCAACACGCCGCTGCCCGACGGCGCCCCGGACGCCGGCGCCGCCGAGCTCCCCTACGACGACAAGGCCGCCGAGGCCCTGAGCAGCTTCGAGGACGACCTGGACGAGAACTCCATGGAGGAGGACGCGGAGCCGAGGGACACGGCCGGCGACCCGTCCAAGCCGCTGCCGCCCTTCTCGGGCTCCGGCCCGCCCTCGCCGCCGTCCGTCATCTCCAGCATCGCCGCCCTGGAGAACCAGATGAAGATGATCGACTCGGTCATGGGCTGCCCGCAGCTGACCGCCCTGAAGGCCGTGGAGAACGGCTCCGGGGACAGCGACCGCCTGAGCAATGACTCCTCGTCCGCCGTGGGCGACCTGGAGAGCCGCAGCGCGGGCAGCCCCGCCCTGTCCGAGTCCTCGTCCTCCATGCAGGCGCTGTCCCCCGCCAACAGCAGCAGCGACAGCCCGCCCCCCAAGTCCCCGGGCCTCGGCCACCAGGAGGGGCCCCAAGACCTGCCGCTGAAGACCGAGAGGCCGGACAGTCCCCCTCCCGCGCCTGAGAACGGCGGGGCGCTGGACCTGACGGCCGTGCACCCCGGCCGGCCGATCGCCAAGGAGGAGGCCCCCTTCAGCCTGCACTTCCTGGGCCGGGAACGCGGTAAGTGTGCGAGCGCCGTGTGTCATGTCTGTGGCAAGCCCTTCGCGTGCAGGAGCGCCCTGCGCGTCCACCTGCGCAGCCACACGAAGGAGCGGCCGTTCGTGTGCACGGCCTGCTGGCGCGGCTGCTCCACGCTGGGCAACCTAAAGCAGCACTTGCTGACGCACAGATGGAGAGAGCTGCCTTCTCAGGTGTCTGACCCCGACTTTGCTCTAGGTCCCAGCCAAAGCGCTCCTAGCCTGGTCACCGGCTCCACGCCCGCCCTGATCAAAGTGGAGGTGAATGGGCACAGCAAGGCCGTCACGCTGGGCGAGGGCCCGCCGCTGCCCGCCGCCCTCCAGGTGCCCGCCGGGCCCCAGACCGTGATGAGCCCGGGCCTCGCGCCCCTGCTGGCCCCCCCGCCACGCCGGACGCCCAAGCAGCACAACTGCCAGTCATGCGGGAAGACCTTCTCCTCGGCCAGCGCCCTGCAGATCCACGAGCGCACCCACACCGGCGAGAAGCCCTTCGGCTGCACCATCTGCGGCAGAGCCTTCACCACCAAGGGCAACCTCAAGGTGAGCGCGCAGGTGCCACCCCCACCTGGGACTCTGCCGGGGCGCCTGGGGAGCGTGCGCGCACACGTGCGGTGTGCGCATCATGGGGCGCGTGTGCACCCTGTAGCGTGTGCATTGTGCGTGTGTAGTGTGTGGGTGTCGGTGAGTATACGTATGCAGGTAGTAGTGCATGCATTGAGTGGGTGGGTGTGCACGTGTGTAGTGTGTGGTGTGTATGTGTGTGTATGTCCTGTAGCATGTGCACAGTGTGTGTTCACTGTGCTTGGGTGAGTGCATGTGCGTAGTGTGTGTATAGGATGCGTACACGCGTACATGTGTATATGCGTACATGTGTACATGCGTACATGTGTAGTGTGCATTGTGTTGTGTCTGGGTGAGTGAGGTGTACGTGTGTAGTGTGCATTGTGTTGTGTCTGGGTGAGTGAGCATGAGTTGTGCACAAGCAGTGTGAGTGAATGCACTCAGGTACTATGTACGTGTAGTGTGATATCTGCGTGTGTGTATGCACATGTGCTCACTTGTGTGCACACACTCACACGGAGGTGTGCTTGCTGTTCAGCTGCAGTGAGGGTCTCGCCTTCCCGCACACGCCCAACCTCCCCGCAAGGAGCTTGTGCAGCCTCTGCAGTGGGGGTGACACACACGTTGCTCCTGGCGGGCCAGCCCCGGGCCCAGGCTGTTTTAAATCTTGTGGGAAGACTGCTGACGAGATACGCTGGGTCTTTAAACGCTTGCACACGGTAGAAAGGGCGCAGACGCGGTCCAGAAGGCTGGTTCTGTTTCATCTGCTGAGAGGGGTGGTGGGCATCTGGTGAGGAGCCACCCAGTCGGAGGGCCCGAGCATACAGTGTGGCAGTGCGTTCATAGTAAGACACAGCCCCCTGTACACGTCCCGCGGACGGTGGAGCATGTGACACGTCCGCAGACGGTGGAGCGTGTGCTCGGAGGGCAGGTGACACGTCCCGCAGGTGACATGTCCCACGGACTGTGGAGCATGTGCTCAGAGGGCAGGTGACACGAGATGCAGAAGGCGGAGCGTGTGCTCGGAGGGCAGGTGACACGTCTGTGGACGGTGGAGCGTGTGCTCGGAGGGCAGGTGACACGTCCGTGGACAGTGGAGCGTGTGCTCAGAGGGCAGGTGACACGAGATGCAGAAGGCGGAGCGTGTGCTCGGAGGGCAGGTGACACGTCCGCGGACAGTGGAGCATGTGCTCGGAGGGCAGGTGACACGAGATGCAGAAGGCAGAGCGTGTGCTCGGAGGGCAGGTGACACATCCCATGGACTGTGGAGCGTGTGCTCGGAGGGCAGGTGACACGTCCCATGGACTGTGGAGCGTGTGCTCGGAGGGCAGGTGACACGTCCGTGGACAGTGGAGCGTGTGCTCAGAGGGCAGGTGACACGAGATGCAGAAGGCGGAGCGTGTGCTCGGAGGGCAGGTGACACGTCTGTGGACGGTGGAGCGTGTGCTCGGAGGGCAGGTGACACGTCCCGTGGACTGTGGAGCGTGTGCTCGGAGGGCAGGTGACACGTCTGCAGATGGAGTGTGTGCTCGGAGGGCAGGTGACACGTCCACAGACGGCAGAGCGTGTGCTCGGAGGGCAGGTGACACGTCCCATGGACTGTGGAGCGTGTGCTCGGAGGGCAGGTGACACGTCCCGCGGACGGCGGAGCGTGTGCTCGGACGGGTGACCCGGGCAGGCCAGCGCTGCACTCTCAGCCGAGTGTGCTGTTCTATCTGCGTCAGGTGCTCGCTTGGGACTCTGACCTCTTCAGAGACGGTGACAAAGTCAGTACCTGTGGCCTCTACTTGCTAGGAGGACGGGAGCCGTCGTCTGAGGTCTCTGCCGACCACAGATGCCCCCGGCTGCCGCCTCCGTGTTCGGGGGAAGCGGCAGGGAGATGGGGGCGGCCTGGGGCCGAGCGTCAGCTGGCTCCGGGGGCCGGGGGCATGAAGGGCGCCAGGGCTCGGGGAGCAGGGGCCTGTGTCCGGAGCTTCAGGACGCCCGCTGCGGGGCCTTGTAGGTCTCACACCTTAGGGGGAAAATCATCCTACCAAGTTTGTAAACCAGAAAAAATGCCGTGGCTGTGTTTTCTTTTTGAATTTGATGGAAAGAAACGTTGCATACTTACGTGTAAGATGCTCAGAAAAGGTCACCCGACGACGTTTTGCTGTCCCCAAAGTAAGGACTTGCTCATGATGGGGAAAAGACACACCTTCTGGACAACACCTGGCAGGTGCAGAGGGGCGCGGCGCCTGCACTGCTGGCTCGCTCACCTGTGGGCTGTCTCTCGTGTCTCATGCAGGTGCACATGGGCACACACATGTGGAACAACGCCCCCGCGAGGCGCGGCCGCCGCCTGTCAGTGGAGAACCCCATGGCCCTGCTGGGCGGCGACGCCCTTAAGTTCTCGGAGATGTTCCAGAAGGACCTGGCAGCCCGGGCGATGAACGCCGACCCCAGCTTCTGGAACCAGTACGCGGCAGCGCTCACCAACGGGCTGGCCATGAAAAACAACGAGATCTCTGTCATCCAGAACGGGGGCGTCCCCCAGCTCCCCGTGAGTCTCGGGGGTGGCGCCCTGCCCCCGCTGGGCTCCCTGACTGCCGGCATGGATAAGGCACGCACAGGCAGCAGCCCGCCCGTGCTGGGCCTGGACAAAGCCGGCCCCGACACGGGGGCCAGCCGGCCGTTCACGAGGTTCATCGAGGACAACAAGGAGATCGGCATTAACTAGCCACGTGTGCGCTCTGTCCCCAGCACACCACGCGTGTGACCGCCAGGCCGCGTGCCGCCGAGCCAGGCCCTCCTGAGACCCGCCCCCGTTCGCCGTGTGGCCGCTGGGGCCACCCCGCACGTGCTGTGGCTCTCCGTGCCACGGGGAGCTCGGCAGTTCTGCAGGATTCCGCAGCCTCCCAATCGTGCGAGGCCACGTCAGAGGCTGCGGAGTCCGCCTGCGGGACAGGAGGGCTCGGGGCAGACGCGCGAGGGCAGGGGTCCCCAGTGTTCCGGTGACACTCGTGTGACGGTTTTGTTCAAAGTAGTTAGCATCTCGAACTCTGAGTTTAGACCTCTCACCCGAAGACGTGGCGTAGCCCTCGGCCGTGAGGGCCGTGTCTCCCGGCACCGCGCGTCTGTAGTATTTATGTCGTGACGATTATGCGGGTAGCACACACCACAGCCCCGACTGTAAAGGTGGCTTTTGTACTGCAGGATACATCTGGCTGTGTGGTTTTGTTTTTTTTGTGTTTTTTTTGTTTCTTTTTTTGAAAACAAGATTTGTTTCACTATAAATAAGTGGGTTATTTCAATGCAGGCGAAATTGTGAAGTTCTATTGGGAAAGATAGCATGCTTTTTGTGTGCAAGCACCTGTCAGTAACAAGCCCTTTTTTTTAATTTAAATGTTTGTAGCTGCTATGTGCACAGTTGTCCTCTAGTGTGGTCTGTAACACAGCGACTGGGGAGAAGTTACAGGCAGACGTCACTGTAAATTACTCGCAACATTATAAACAGTTGCGAGGAAGCATTTCACGTATCAAAGCTGTACAATAAAGAGGTAATGTTTGTATAACGCGGTTGCACGCTCCTAATTCACACTCTTGCACTTTCAGTATTTTGTGTTAGGGAGGTTTGTCCATAATCTGGAAATTTAAAAATATGTAAAGTATTTTATAGGTAGGACTTTGACTTAAGGAAAACGAAATGAACTTAGGGTTTCTCGTTTTGTCTGAAGGGCGGACGGTATGAGAAGCCTTTGCGACTCAAACAGAAAAGCCCAGGAGACTTGTCCGTTCCCGCTCAGCAGACTAGGGCCTGCCGTCTCTTAAATTAAAACGACTTATTTAACTCTTCTACGAAGCCCGTTTAAAAACCTGACGAAACGTTGATGACTGGACGTTGGGGCGGGCGACGCCGGTGCCGGCCGGGAGCCGCGCGGACGTGGTGCGGGTGTCACTCGGCCGCGGTCTCCCTTCTGTCCTCACGGCCACGGGGGAGCTGGGCGCATGTGCGCACCGTCCGCCCCGCACGGCAGGCCGGGGAGGAGCCCGGCGCCTGCACTGTCAGCCGGAGTAACCAGGACGTGAGCCCCGCTCCTAACTTATTTATTATCTTCTCAGCTGAAAACAAAGCACAACGCCGTCTGGCAGCTCAGCACCGCCGTGGGCGGGCGACCGCGTGACCGCTTCGCGTGAGGACGGGGCCCTGGGAGCTGGGGGACCGCGGGCGGGCGGAGCTGCACAGGCGGGTCGCGTGTTCTACCTCATTGTGTGCGCCGGGGCCTGACTGGACTAGCCTCGACGCCACTGTCGCCGACGGTGCAGGGCCGGGTCCCGGTGCTGGCGGGCGCGCCCTGCAGAAGGAGCCGGAGTGGTGTCTTCTCAGTGGAACAGAAAAGCAGGACAATCTTTCCGACGCGGCCGCAGCAACAGCATGTCACACCGTCGCCGGACGAAGCGTCGAGGACACTCAGAAGCAGACGCGACCGTTCGTTCCTGTCGGAAGTGAACACCAAACTCGACAGCTGTTTCCGGCGGTGACGAGACGGGCGTCCCCACTTCGTGCCGTCCCTTCTCACGGGACGACGAGGAACGGAACACGGAGCCGGCTCAGCGCTGCTGCGTTTCAGCAGTCGAATGTGTTTTATTTATCTGTGTCCTTTGGGGTGTGGATTTTTTTTTTTT